ACCCCTCCCTGTGGAATGAGGTTGTAATATTAGACAGAGAGCATCACTGGAAAATGCGAAAACTTAAGTAATCAGCACATATGCTATGCCACAAAAATCTAATGGTAAAATATGATCAGTGGTAAAAATGGTTGCTGGGACATAAGTTTATATGTCCCAAACATTCAAAACATCGCCCAGTGGATAAAGACGTGCTTCCGATCCCGTGATTAGACCCAAAGAGTTGTGTGTTCAATACCAGATAACAGCAGTGGTGAATCAAACTTGGAGAGCTGAGATAAAGGGAAATGAACTGAGACATCTGAAAGAGGCATTGCACGTGGAACTAGCACAATCTTCGAAATTCTAATCACCTGAAGAAGGTCGGAGCGTACAACAGCCAGAACGTTATGAATATGGCAATGAAGATGAGGATAACAGTCCGAATAAGGTAAATATATTTTTCTTGCTTTCCATCACAACTGTCACAATACAGCTATCAGTAAACAAGTAGTAATATTACCTTGATTTTTTTACTGGATGGAGTTTTGTCAGCCATTATTCATTCTTGACTCGTATTTCTTTCATCTTTAGTTGGAATATTTTTATCGCGGCAATCAAGATCATCCCTCAGCTGTTATTAGTAAACAAGTAGTGATATTATCGGGAATTTTTATTAGATGAAACATTGTCAGCCATTATTTATTATTGACTAATATTTATTTCATCTTAATTCCAGTTCCTTTTCATCCCAACTATTCAAACTGTTCTTCTATGGATATAAATAAACATGTATTTATATTATTTCGAATAGTTATTAGATGAAACATTGTCAGCCATTATTTATTATTGACTAATATTTATTTCATCTTAATTCCAGTTCCTTTTCATCCCAACTATTCAAACTGTTCTTCTATGGATATAATTAAACATGTATTTATATTATTTAGAATATTTACTAGATGAAGCATTGTCAACCATTATTTATATTAAATGATTATTTCATCTGTCTTAATTCTTGTTGCTTTTCATTGCAACTTACTCGACCGTCAGTTCATCGCCCTGAGTAAACGGTTTATTATTTAATTCGGATCAGTTTTCTTTATTGATAGTCAAAGTCTGGTTTAGTATTGGTGACAAGGAATTAAAATCAAGAATAAAATAATAATAGTGAAAATAACATTACTTAACTTAAATTGGGTTCGGCAAACATTGAAAATAGAACTAGGAATATATTATTTTACCACTCATCCTAATGGTGAAAGCATTCCTTTCTTTGTATTCGATATTCTGCGTTTAAAGAGCAATCACTGCGAAAGATGTAGAAACAGAATACGAATATTAAATTAAAATTAATATTATGAGTCGGCAACATAATCACTTTACGTAATGAAGAAAATTGGCCTCATTTTGGTTAATGACAATCTTAATTTCGACCGTCAGCCATTTCAGTGCAGGTGAAGATTTTTCTTAGAAAACCTTCTTAAAAAAACTTCATAAAATTTGTTATGCTGTTTATATCATTTTAAGTCAAATGGACGAAAAGATTTTCTTTGATAATTTAAAAACAATTATAATATAATTGATATAAGAAAATATAATACCTTACTCGACCACAAATAACGCCATTCGTCTGCTGATTACGCAGAAAATTTGCTGCTATACAGATTCCCTGTCTCTGTTCGGTTGAGTTACAAAGAATTTCTGTTGTTGCATATCAATTTTATTCTTCACAAAGTTAAATTCAATTACATTTTATTCAATTACATGTCCGCCATTGCAATGACTTGTCGGCAGGCTGCATTTCGATATATTTTGATTAGAATTTCTAAGGTTTTGAAAGCGTTTTCGGTGAACACATGAATCTGGTTGTCATTAGAGAAAGTTTCCCTCTCAAAGCTTTTGGCAGCGACGTTGAAGGGTAATAATCGGTGGGTGAATCAGGTGAATTTAGCGGAGGTGGAGTAGGACAGACCAGATCAGTTGAGAATGGCGGCGGTGTAGCAGGACAAACCAAGTTAGGTGAATATGGCGGTGGTGAAGTAGGACAGACCATATCAGTTGAATATGGCAGCGGTGGAGTAGGATGGAACAGATAATATGAATATGTCGGCGGTGGAGTAGGACAAACCAGATCAGGTGAATAGAGCGGAGGTAGAGTAGGACAGACCAGATTTGTTGAATATGGCGGCGGTGGTGTAGGACAAACCAGATCAGTTGAATATGGCGGCGGTGAAGTAGGACAGACCAGATCAGTTGAATATGGCAGCGGTGGAGTAAAACGGAACAGATCAGATGAATATGGCGGCGGTGAAGTAGGACAAACCAGATCAGGTGAATAGAGCGGCGGTAGAGTAGGACAGACCAGATTTGTTGAATATGGCGGCGGTGGTGTAGGACAAACCAGCTCAGTTGAATATGGCGGCGGTGAAGTAGGACAAACCAGATCAGGTGAATAGAGCGGCGGTAGAGTAGGACAGACCAGATTTGTTGAATATGGCGGCGGTGGTGTAGAACAGTCGAACTGTGTTTCAAAAACTTTCCTTTCTTTATCATTGCTGTATGCGGCCTTGCGATTTCAGGCAAGAGAACAATTTTTTTTTCTGTATTCCACTGTGTACGATGCCACTACCGTACAAAAATATATTAATCTACTTTAAATGTATTCTTAACTTCCACGTACGATTAGCAATCAGAATGTTATTACATTTGGTTCCTCAAAACGAATATTATTTATACTTATTACAAAATGTGTATAAAATAGAATACAGAATCAACGCAAACTTTTAAATAAATATGGCAAATGGAAAACGTTCATTAAAACTAGATTTGATTACGCGTTTCGCCTTTCTTGGCTTCATCAGATCTTTTTAGCCATATTTATTACAATGTTTCGGTCGTTGTACGCCACGGCCTTCTTCAGGTGGTTGGCATGTCAAACCGAACCCTTTATTTCGCTCACTGGGGTAGACTCTTCTAGTTCCACGTGCCATGTTTAATGAATGTCAGTTATCAGTTATCTCCTGTTAATTTCCCTCTCCAAGTTCTCCACTGCCTTAACCGGTTATTGAACTCACACTCTTTGGATACTGTCACTGGAACTACCAATGCATTTTTTCACTGTGAGGAGAACTTGGAGAGGAGAATTATCATGAGATAACTGACAACTGACATCCATTAAACATGGCACGTGGAACTAGAACAGTCTACCCCAGTGAGCGAAATAAAGGGTTCAGTTCGACATTCCAACCACCTGAAGAAGGCTGGAGCGTACAACGGCCGAAACGTTGTAATAAATGTGACGACAAAGATGAGGACAATAGTCCGAATAATGTCAATAGGATGAACCTCACTGTAAAAAAAAAATGTTTAAAAATGAACACACACGCACACACATCTAAAATACACCCAACTCGCAAACCTTGAAAGTCTATACAGTGTTAGGGGAAATGAACGCTGTCTAGAATGACGCCTATTTGCCCTGGAATATGGATCTGCCCACGGCACAAAGTTTGGACACCTAACAGATCTAAAATTGTTCAATTCCATTTTCTTCTGTCTGATTCGTAAGATTTCACGCGTCATTAACTTTATCACTATTTCAAATCTATGAATAGTGATGAAAACTGGCACGTTGCTTTATCGCGTAAGAATTTTAATAAAATGAATGCTAAGTTTTCTATTGCCGTGCATCTTTGTCTTCAGGCAATCTATTCTGAGTGTCATATTGAGTTTGAAACGTTATCTCTTTCTCAGAGATTAATTAATCTTACCCGAAGTTGAAATTTAAAGACTTGAAGAACTACTATATACAGATGGTTCGAAAGGAAATAACGGTTTTGATTTAATTTTTAAAGTATTAGTTACAATATATATATATATGTGTGTGTGTGTGTGTGTAATAATAAAAAGGCTTAAACACTAATATTCCATGGTCATAATTTATTCCATTGGAATCGTAAATACGATTCAATTCATCAGACCTACAAATTCAAAAAGAAAACAGAAAAAACAACTCCGGAAATAAAAAATAGAATTTAGAGTGAGTGTATGAGAGTGTGGGTCGAATGTTAGTGCTAAAGAGAGGGGTAACAGACTGCATTTACGATTCCAATGGAATAAATTATGACCATGGAATATTAGTGTTTAAGGCTTTTTATTATTATATCCTTACTCGGTCTTGGACATTGAGTTCTACCTGGATTCTATCCTCTTGGAATTTTTTTATTCAAAAAAATATATATGTATGTGTATGCATAGATATTTATATATTTTGTATATGTATGTATATTTACTACTAATATATCTATCTATCTTATATATATATATATATATATATATATATATATATATATATATGTTTCATTAAAACGACAGACAAGGTACTATGGTTAGCTTTTTATTTAATTTTTTTCTTGTGTTCTGAAGCTTTCTTTTCTGGACAAGAGTGTGGCTGTCCGAATGTTCTGTATTTCCGAGCGCTTTTCGGCTATACTTTTAGCCATTATCAAGGATGATTCATTTCTTAGTAGAGTGTGTGTGGTTCTGTGTATGTTCAGTGTGTGGTAGTGATGTTTTTAGTTTCGAATTACACATTGTGGCTTTGTCATAGTTAATATTGTTAAGAGTTGGCTTTTTCTTTTTATTATTAGAGCTTCCATTATTTTTAGTCTTTTTTTTTGCAACAGTTAAATATTTGTGTTTTCTACTAGTATAAAAGCTGATAATTGAATCATCCTTGATAATGGCTAAAAGGTATAGCCGAAAGTGCTCGAAAATACAGAACATTCGGACAGTTTTAACTCTTTGTCCAGAAAAGAAACATGAACACAAGAAAAATTAAATAAAAAGCTCAACCGTAGTACCTTGTCTGTCGTTTTTAATGAAACATGCATAAAGTTGTTGATTACTGCCTAAATATACAATATATATATATATATATATATATATATATATATCTTAACTGTCTTATATAAATTTATATTCAGATTCGGTATATGTTAGGCTTACGGAAACATCACGTTGAAACACCTGTTCCAGTACGATCAGTGAAGTTAAGCAATGTCGAGCCTGGTTAGTACCTAGATGAGTGATAGGTTGAGAATACCAGCTGCTGTAAGCTTGAATGTGGTGTAACGAATAACAGCTAGGAATTGTTCATCGGAGATCCGAGTTCCAATTCTTGTGCAAATAACCTTGGGAAAGGCATGAATCCACCTCTTCTCCCCCAGCTATGGGTCAATTAGTAAAGCTTGTATCCCTAAAGCGTTATTATCTAAAATAAAATCTTACAATCTAAAACTATTTTCGGGCTTTAAATAACCTGCAAAGTATTAGATTATTATTATATATATATATATATATATATATATATATATATATATATATATATTTAGGCGGCAATTTTTCATTGATGCATCTTTCATTAAATAAGTTTTGTCTATTTATTTTAAGTCAGTTCCTTTCATATTGTCTGATAAGCTTAATCACATTATCATTGTATCCGAGACGCGGAAGCGAAAATTGCATCGCAGATCATGACGTCACACATGACCATGCCAGACTGAAAAGGAGAAGTATTAAGTATGGGAAGCTCTTGGTATAAACAAATGGCTTCTGTTATCAAATATAGGCCGGGTCTCGTATACACGATTTTATCGCTGCTTTGGAAATTTTTATGCAACAAAAACAGTCTATCATTATTATGTTGTCCGTGTATTGTTTAATATATTGAAATGTAATTGTCATCTTTGATAATGGCTTATGTAAGCCGAAAGCATAGATAGGATAAAAACATGTATGAATATGATGATTTTCTTTCGTCTTTCAATGATAATGTTATTAAGCTTATCAGACAATATGAAAGGAACTTACTTAAAATAAATAGACAAAACTTGTCTATATTATTTAAGGAAACATACATCAATATATATATATATATATGTGTGTGTGTATATATATATATATATATATATATATATATATATATATATATATATATATATATATATATATATATATGTGTGTGTGTGTGTGTGTGTGTGTGTGTGTGTGTGTGTTCGCCTATCAGCCGCTTTATACTTCACTGCAGTCTTTTTTTTAAACAGGAGCTGAGATTTATCAATCGTTTCCTGTTTAGGACTGGATTTTCGGTTCCTTCCAAAGTTTTTTTTCATTCTCTTTCACTACTAGTAGCGTCTTAGTGGAATTATCGCCTTGCTGGGGGTGAATATATATATATATATATATATATATATATATATATATATATATATATATAGAGAGAGAGAGAGAGAGAGATTCGCCTATCATCCCCCTTCCTATACTTCTCTGCGTTTTTTTTTTTAAACAGAGGCAGAGGTTTTATCCCTTGTTTCCTGTTTACCACTGGGTTTCAGGTCTTCCTAAAGTCTTTTCATTCTCTTTCACTGCTAGGACCCATTTGAGTCATCTGTAGCATTATCGTCTTGCTGGAGGTGAAATTAATTAATTAATTAATTAATTAATTAATTAATATATATATATATATATATATATATATATATATATATATATATATATTAAAGAAATGGACAAAGTCCGACAATTTATTCATTAAAGACATTTTTATGTTTAACGTTCTTTTTTATAGATACAAGTATTTAAGTAACTGCTCTGTTTATAATAAACAGTATTAAATAACATTTTCCGGCCTGAATGTCCGAGAAATTTTCATAGAAAATATTCGTCCTTTGACGATTCGAACCTTGCATCTTATACGGAGCGTTCGAAGCAAGGTCGAATGTACTGCTTATAAACTTCAATCTTCCATGAATCTCGTACATTCATATATATATATATATATATATATATATATATATATATATATATATATATATATATATATATATATATATATATATATATATATATATATATATATATATATAATATATTTCCCTCAATTTTTTCTTTAGTGATCTATATACACGATCCACTATACATGCAGACCGCCCAAGGATTAGTGACAGTTGTTCTGAAGATCGCACTGAAGCGTGAAACAGGTTGTAACCCGCAATGTGGATTCCTATCTATCTATATATCTATCTAATTAACAATATACATAATGTTAATAGTACTTTCCTGAACAAGAAGATATCCTTAATAGACAACCAGAGTTTGTAAATATAAACAACAGAACAAGCATCTCCCTACACGCAAGCCGCTAGTCGTCCGCTGGCGGCCCGCCAATGGCAACGCCAGCAACCGGCGGCTCATCGGTCGGCTTCTAGCGGTCCGCCAGTGGTAACATTGCCGAGCACATTGGCGGCCCGATATCGGGCCACCAGCGGTAAACGCTAGTGGCACGTCACCCAATGGCAGATTGGTGGCTTGGATATAGGGTTGGTGCATCATTTAGTGCCAGACTAAATGAAAGAGATATATTTTCACCTTAATATACGCCGACTGTATTTATTATCGCCACTATATCATAGTTGGAGAGGTTGTTGCTCATAGCCAGTGCCTACAGATCGGTTAAATGTTTGGATCTTTTTGTTCTGTCATCCAATGATTAAGTTTCTCACGAGTTTGAATGCTTGGAAAGACCTTTTTTTTAACATCAGTTTTAAAAACATTGTCCAGGTTTAACTTTGCTGTTTGTCAGGAGTCTTGCAGAAAGCGAAGAGCTACCACAGAAGTCCTGTTTTGGAAGTAGGAAAAAAAAAACATAAAGCAAAGGAGTTTAGTGAATGCTTATGGGAAGGTTGCATTATTAAATCTGTTGTAAAGAATAAAGAAGATTATTTTTGTTGTGATGATATAACCCAACTTCCCCATTCACAATAATGGACGGACTGGTTGCCGATTAAGTACGACCACAGCGGACAGTCGAAAGGTCTTCGTTTGTTAACACCTATTGAGGTTAGCATACTCCCGGACTCTGTCTCTGTATTTTGACATACCTACATCCGATTATAAAATTATTATTGAAAACCAATACTCGGGTTTACTTTGTTTATTATATCTTGCACGAGATATAACAATTTTTAACTGGCTCTCGAACTACATAAAGCGAGAAGAAGAGTATGTTGCGGACTAGATTTGGAAGCACAAGAGTTTTGGAATATTTTGTGGGCTTCTACTCATAAATCTGTTGTTATTAAAGAATAACGAACAATAAATTTGAACTTCTGAACCACAATTAAGCAGGGAGGGGAATATTTTCTAGGCTAGATTGGGGATTTCCATACGTTTGTATTCATTTTGGCATGATTTTTTGAGCTTCTACTCATAAATCAGTTGTTAATAAAGACAAGTTCGTCTTAATTTTTAGAAAAACTTTGTACAGTGATTGAGAAGGAAGAAGACATTTTGAGAAGTGGATTTTTAATCCTGAAACGTTTTTTTTATATATTCGCATGATTTGTCTGCTTCTACTGTTAAATCTGACATAATTAATGGATAAAAGGCATTAATTTTTGATCGACACTTATCCTACAATTGAAAAAGAAGGTGACTTTGTTGATGTGTACATTTGGAATCATTACACTTTTCTGTTCATTTTGATTTGGTCTGTGATCTTCTACTATTAAAGCTGTTGTAATTTCAAGAATATTACTTTTAATGTTCTAATTCTTTTTCCCATTAATTAAACAATTGTGGCTTTCGACTTGTAGATCGTAACTTGGCCATATGTAAATACATTTTATTAGGTTGGTGCAAAAATAATGACGTAAAAATGTCGTTTTTTGACGTTAAAAAATACGTTAAAAAACGACATTATTAGGTCATTATTTTTGCACCAACATAATAATACATCATCCTTTTGAATTGGTAAACTCTTCCCCGATTGTGTATATGATGGAAGGTCAAGACCTGGCTTTCGGACATTACTTTTTTTTTTTTTTTAATTTTTTTTTTAAATAATTTAAACTCTCCAACGACAATTAAGCAGGAAGGAGACATTGAGGATTAGATTTGGAATCTTGAGTTTTTTGCGTTAATTTTTGTATGTTTATGCAACTGTTACTAGACCAGTTCTCATTAAATACAAGCAGCCATTACATTTTGACTAATCCTCGTACCAATAATGAGAAGGAAGGAGACTAATTTAAAGACAGGATTTTGAAAACTTCTCATGATGTTTTTTCGCAAGTTTTGTCTTCGTCAAGATGTTATCCCGAAAGAAAACAAACATAATTTTTTTACCGATTCTCGTATCATAATATTTTGGGGTTTTTTTCCCCATCTTTGTCTGATAGCAGTTTAAAGAAATTCTGTAAAAAAAAAAAAAAAAAAAAAAAACCACGCCTTTAAATCTCAATTTTTTTTGCCATTTGGGTTTCATATGTGATTCTTTTACTGTTAAATCTGTTGTAATTAAAGAATTAATAAAACATTAAGTTTTAACTGACTCTCAAACCACAATTAAGCAGAAATGAGACTATGTTGAAGACTAGATTTGAAATTCTGAAACATTTGACTTTATTTTGATTTGCTTGGTAGTCTTCTACTATTAAATCTGTAATAATTAAAGAATAAATGACATTACTTTTTAACTGACTCACGTACCAGAATAAAGTATAAATGAGACTATGTTGAGGACTAGAATTGAAACTCTGAAACATTTCACATTATTTTGATTTGCGTTGTCTGCTTCTAATATTAAATCTGATGTAATTAAAGAATAAACATTACCTTTTGATTGGCCCTCGTATATGTATAAAGTTATTGCTGGCCTCTTACGCGTGACCTGCTATGATAGTGATTATCTTCAATACAAGCTGGATTTGTAATGATCGCCTGCTGGCAGTCTTAAAATTAATTTAATTATTTCCCTGATTCTGCAATGAAAATTCGAACTTAGAAGAAATTGAGATATATAGGCACTTCACACATTTAATTGTATTTTTATTTTTACTGTTATTTAATCTCTTTCACTCAATAATCACTGCAGTCAGTAGCCTGACACCGCTATTTATACACCTGGCGGTAAACATATATTCATACGTCCGGAGTGTTACCTTCGAACCACGGTCTTGCTAGTTACTCATTTTCTTCCTAGGCACCCGGAGGCGGTGTAATTGTTAGCAAGCTTGTCTCGCTAGCACAATTACGAATAAGTAGTGAGTTCGATCCT